TTTTTTCCTTTTACCCCCCCCCCCCCCCCCACACACACACACATATTAAAAAAATCAATATTACTAAATTTATTCTTCTAAAAAATTGGCTCAAACAAGCCTTTGCCCTTCAACGTAATTGTTTTATGGAACTTTAGAAAACAATAGTTGATAAAATGAAGGTTATGAGAACGTCTCTAATTATAATGTTAAATGCCATGTTTCTTTATTTTTATTTCAATATTTTCATAACTTGACATAATGTTTAGTTGACATATCGTACGTCAATTCCTAGTAAGATGTGTTTTAAGTATTAGTTATTTTTTACCCAATTAAATAGCTAAAAGTTCACTTATTTCTGACGAAATTTACCCCCCAAAAAAAATAATAAATAAATAAAAATCATTCCTCCTTTCAAAAGTGGCGACTTTTGTCTTGAGTGAAAATGAAATATGATCACCCACTCGTCACATTAATTATTGGTTTACACCTTTTAATTTAAGCATTATTAGGCCTTTGAATTCAATGATAAAGTCCATCACCCTATCATTGACAAACAAGATAGGTTAATTTCATATCATTCATATTATTTCAAGAAAAATAAAATAGATTAAATTCTGATAATGGAAAATAGTTATATTATATCAATTGTTGTTTTATGATTACGTTTCAATTTATTTTGTAAGGTCACATGATATGGGACCGTTCTTTTGGAACAAGGTAGAAATAATGTCAACAATAAATGGATTCATTCTATTATAAATTGAAGGAGTGAAATTAAATAAACCTTTTGTCTATGCTCACTGGGAAAATTGTAGCATTATCGCAACCTTTTCGTATAACTTGTTCTTCAATTTTTACTAGTTACTTGATATTGTGGTCTTTAACTTCGATTTTATTCTATTATATTTATAAATGTTAATTCTTGTCCAAGTATCTCTTAAAATGTTATGTGAGAGGAGCTATCTATTTTTTGGAGGGTTAAAATTGATAGGGATGACAAATTCTCCGTCCTCTTTCGTCATGAATTGTCCTATTTCGAAAGATAAAATGATTGGAGATGGCGGATACGCTCCTTGCCTCGAAATTTTGAATGTTGCAAATCTTTTTATGGTTTTCAATTTAAATCGTATTTAAAAAAAATGATAGGGTTAATTTCACAAGTGATCATTAAAATGTTTGAAATTTCTGAATGATAATTAAATTATTTTTTTAACTCATTAAAGGTTAATAATAGTTAATGGTCATACAGTTTCACCATTGATCACCCATATTTACATGACTTCTAAAGAAAATTGCAGTTGAGGTTTTTAACATTTGCAAACGTGAAAATGGAACTCTAACCCTCATATCTTGACACGACGATCCTCAACCTTCTATTAATTTAGCAGACCAAGTCATTGAAGACTAAATCTGGCTGAATAAATGCTAAAACGGCATGTGCATTGCACTATTCTAACTTTGTTAAGGGAAAAACAAGTCAAAAATTGATTTTAATTGAAGTTATTAAAATACATTAAAAAACGAAAGAATTTAAAAAGGAAGAAAAATAGTCATCTTTCATGATATACATCCTACCCATCTCATATCCCACCTTGAACCTATAAAACCGCACATGGTATGATGATAGAATCATGCTGTGCTGCCATACCCTCCTTGATAGCACGCTCACATGGAAGGGGGGGGGAGCATTTCTTTGGCATTTTGAATTCACACGAGTCCCACGCTCTTTGAGGGTAAGTTAAACAAGACGCTCTTTGAGGGTAAGTCAAACAAGAGGTTAAATTCTTTGTGGCAAAAGAGTTTACAATAATGCTTCTTGTACATTAGTTTGATATAGCTTTGTATTCAACATTTCAAAAATGCTGACGTGACCACTTCAAAATCTTCACCTTTTTAAAACGTGGAAAAGAAGAGCCGTAGCAACTCTCTTTAAAAAACATAAAAGAAGAATCGGCCCCAAATCCTTTCATTTGAAATACCCTCCACCATGGAAATACAATTTGGCAGTGAGATTCGATGACTTCTGCGAATTCTTGCAGTGGATGAACACCTCTAGATTTTTGACCAACACACATACATCTAGCCATTGTTAACCTCAAACGTGAGATCTCCAATTTACCCAAAGATAGAATGCAACCGCCACTTGAACGTCCAACAGAAATCAGAGTTTTGGTGCCAACTGAAGGTTATTTACCTACTAAAGAAGTGATTACGGTGTCATAGGTCCGTTTTACCCCAGTATAGGGGACGATCACCACTGCGACTCCACACATCCAATAGAAATCAGGTTGTTGGTGTCAACCGAAGGGAAATTCACCTACTTGAGAAGTAATTACGGTGTCTTGGGAGTGACAGAGAAAGGTGATTTCCATAATATTTTGAATTTGTAGTTTCTGATAATCTAAGCAATTTTAGTATGATTCTGAAATTTCATATTGATGAACATGTTACATCGTTTTCTAATGTTTCTAAAATAAGATATTCATTAACTTATTCATAATACCCTAAATTTAATTTTGTTTTAGTGCTTAGTACGTTTCCCGTCAATACGTTGTAGGAAAAGAACTAATGGACCTATCAGATGATGAAGTTTTTAGAATCTAATAATGAGAACAATATGGACAATATAATGACGTGGAAGATGACATCTTTGGAGGAAATAGTGCGATTGTGCCTGAGGTGGGTATAAAATTCAAAGATGAAAAAGAGCTGTTTGAATTTTACAAGAGGTACGCATATAAGGTAGGCTTTTCGGTTAGGAGAAGGAATTCTGGAAATGGAGGATGGAGTATTGAGATACATTATGTTGACATGTTGCCGTGAGGGATGAAGAAGCAGTGATACAAGCTCTTCTTTGAAACTGCAACCAACAATTCAAATAGGTTGCAAAGCAAGTTTGATTGCTTCTTCAAATATTCGTGGAATATGAAAAATTTGTATTGTCTATCTCAAACACAATCATAAAACAAGTTCTTCAAAGTCCAGGTTATATTGATGCAATTGAGTGCAAATGTTAAACGCAAGCTTGAAGTGAATGATGTGGCCGAAATTTCTTTGTATAAGAGCTATAATTCTACAGTTGTTGAAGCGGGTGGATACGAGAATATGACTTGCGTGGAAAGGGATTTGAGCAAGTGAGGTGATTGAGACTTGGTCAGGGAAATGTCGCGGCAATACAATCTTACTTTTCACAAATGCAAGAATGATGCTTGGGATTTTTCTTTTGTATGGACTTAGATGAAGAGTCATGACTTAAGAATTTTTTTTTGGCAAATAATAGGTGTAGACAAGCATATAAAGAGTTTGGAAATGCAGTGACGTTTGATACGACTTATCTCACTAATAAATATGACATGCCTTTTACATCTTTTGTCGGAGTAAATCATTACGGACAGTCAACACTTCTTAGTTTTGGCTTGTTATCAAATGATAAAGCATATACACTTGTCAGCCAGAACATGGATGCAGTGCAAGCATGGTCAAGCTCCCAATGAAATTATTACCGATCAAGACAAGGCTATGCAAAATGCAATTCAGATAATCTTTCCATATACGAGGTATAGATGGTGTCTTTGTCACTTATTGAAGAAGTTGCCTAAAAAATTTGGGTACCATGTCGACAAGAGCTCAATTTTTCATGTATACACGAATTAGTGTATGATACACAACTTGTCGAAGAATTTGAAGGTTGGAGAATTATGCTTGATACATATAACTTATATGATAATGAATGGCTGTCGAGGTCGTATAAGACTAGGGGTCCTTGGGTGCCGTGTTTTTTGAAAATCACTTTTTGGGTAGAGATGCTAACAACTCAACGAAGTGAGAGTATGAATACATTCTTCGATGGGTATGTGCACTCTAAGACATCATTGAAGTAATTCGTTGAATAGTATGAACGAACATTACGAAATAAAGTTGAAAAGGAATTCCAAACAGATTTTAAGTCTTACTTACAGATGGTGCCTTGTGCAACAAAATATGAAATAGAAAAGTAATTTCAAGCAGTTTATACTATTTCGAAGTTTCAATAATTTCAGGATGAGATAACTGGGAAGGTGTATTGTGATATGATATCTAATTTGGATAATTGTTCAGAGAAGACCTATGAGGTTGAAAATGATGTCATTCACGAAAAAAGGTTAGGAAGAAAACGTTTCGTGCAGAGGGTTGTATTATTATTTGTAATTGTCACCTATTCGAGTTTTGTGGAATTTTATGCAGACATGCCATATTAGTGTTGATGCGTAATGACATCACATCATTACCAATATATATCGAGGAGATGGAGAATGGATGTTAGTAGAGCCCACACGAGGGTTGCTGTGAATTATGATAGTTTGGTTAGCACTTCTAGCCAGCTGAGGTACGATAGAATGTGTGAAGTATTTTCGTCATTGGTAAACATTGCCGCAGATGATGAAGAGTGAACTCGTGCGATAATAGATTGGGTTCGATTGCAATCTAAAGACATAATGTCTATAAAGTCGAGTTATGGAAGCAATACCATTTCCCAGCCTAGTTTGCATTTAGGCTCCCAATCTAGATCATCACAAGACACAGACAATGGGAGAATACAAGATCCTCAAAGCTTGAAAAAGAAGGGTACGCCAAAGAAACTGCGTAATAAAAGCCCGTTGGAGTGCAGCTCGAAGAAATCAAAGGTAATTTCTATTGCAAAATATTTTTTTAGCTATGTTTTACATTCGTCCGTCACAACATTAAATATAAATTATTTCCATGTCATGCAAGCTAGCAATGTCTTCAAGCAAAGGACAGAGATTGAAAGTGATGAAAAAAGGCTCGGACAGGATGCATCTATTGGCCAGACCAACCAATAAGCACAAAACTTGATGCAAATAATATTTGTAAGTAATTTTATTGCTCAATGTATATTAAGCATTTTTCTAATTCAATTTTCATGACATGTAGGGTGACGACGAAAGTCATGCACTAACATAACAACTTTCAACTTCAAATGTCTTTGTCAATCACCAAGGTGTGTGTATGGTTTCAACTGCAGATTTAGCACGTTCTGATGTTAACAGTTGCCATTTTTAAATATTTATGCTAGGTAATGCAATGCCATACTACTATCTCAATTTTCGATACAACAATGGAACACAATGTGGAGTCATCAAGGAGATACTTAGAACATCTGCAATGGGCTTTTTTCTATCGAATTTCACGGTGTGAGTTGCCTTTTCTTTTTCTTTTTTTTTTTCACCCAAACAGTTAATTTCATTTTTCATCTTCAATTTACTTGCTATATATCATTTTGAATGTAATAATTCCAGCCATTGCCTCCTCCGAGTGCTATAGCAAGTTGGATGTCAAGTGTCACCAATTCCATTCCCTAGGCTGCTATTGCTAGAGGTCCATCGAGTGTTGTTTAGATACCTGGCTCCGGAATGGCCTATCAAGCTGCTGAAAGTGGTATTGGAATGGTATCCCAAAATGCTTGATCATCAAGGAGGGCAGAATTTAATCCTTCCAATGCATCTTAACAAGCGGGGTATGAAAAAAAATGTGGGAGGATATAGTAAAAACGCATGGTGCGATGGCCGGATGGACAATGCTTGTCCTGTGTTCCTTTGACCGATGTATAACAATTTTTTCTATAACATTCAGCACTAAGCATTTTTGTAGTTCATTTGGAAGACGTGTTGTTATCTTTTATGTTACAGAATTGATTCATGTGGTTTGATTATTTGTGTGACCCATATGTCCCAAAGAAAATCAATTTGATAACTTGTAGCGGGCTAGTTAAAAATGCTTCAAGTTTCTGTTGTAATTGAGTGTGTATAGTTGCAAGGGGAAGCATTTATAACAGCACCACATTGCTGCAATTTTTTTTCATTTTTTCGATTTTCTAATTTTTGGTTCTTTCTTACTAAACCAGGAGCATGGATCTAATTTTTGGTTCTTTTTTTCGATTTCCTATTAATATCATCACATGATCTTATCTCAATTTTATAGAAGCAGAAATTTTTATCACCATTCACCTGATTGCGCAAGGAAAAAAAATGTAGTAGATAGTATTCTTGAAGTTTTTCTGCATCCACCCCTTCGAGAGAAGCAATCATTTATAAATTTTATACAAGAAAAATATAAAAGTAACCAAACACAACATACTATATGTTTTGCAGATAACAAAACATACTCATCAGCACGCCCACACTGTCCAGGGCATGAAGAGATTGAAGCTAATAAACGGCCACTACAATATCCCATATAAGACAATCTAACTAATGCAAAATACAATCTAACATATACAATGTGAGATATGAAGAAAAGAAATAAAAGTGTATCATCACATGATCTTATCTCAATTTTATAGAAGCAGAAATTTTTATCACCATTCACCTGATTGCGCAAGGAAAAAAAATGTAGTAGATAGTATTCTTGAAGTTTTTCTGCATCCACCCCTTCGAGAGAAGCAATCATTTATAAATTTTATACAAGAAAAATATAAAAGTAACCAAACACAACATACTATATGTTTTGCAGATAACAAAACATACTCATCAGCACGCCCACACTGTCCAGGGCATGAAGAGATTGAAGCTAATAAACGGCCACTACAATATCCCATATAAGACAATCTAACTAATGCAAAATACAATCTAACATATACAATGTGAGATATGAAGAAAAGAAATAAAAGTGGCAAAAATTACAACACATATAGGTAAGTGGGCTGGAATCTGTTACTGTCAGCTTAATTCCAGAACTTCAATACAACAATTTAGTTCCAGAAAGACTCCCTAAACCACATATTAAGTCATACAACACACTTTATCTAAAGTTGCTGAATAAATATTCAGTTCACTAGCTGACAACTCGAAATGATCACCAAGTACAAACCATTAAATCACCATTCTAATACATCTTCGGTTTCTAATTACATGTTATGAAACTCCTTTCCCCTTGCGTATATTTATTTTTAGAGAAATCTCCAATTCTTTTTCCTCTCATAGCGTTGCAAGTGTTTTCAACATGTGGGACAATTCATCGACTTGTTCACCTCCATTTGTGATGCCACTTGATTCACCATTATTATGTTGTGGACATTCTTTGTTGAGGGATTTGTTACACCACTTGAAGTACCTACAGTCACGGGTACAACAATGAAACAACAGCCATTTATGGTCGTCGTTCTTTTCGACCTCCAACCACTTGACGAAACCCTCACCACAATTTGGATATCTTTTCTTCTTCGGACATTCTGACAGCATATGTCTCCTTTGTCTACAACAATGACATATTTCCTTGTTCTTACTTGCCATCGAACTAATCTAATTCAATTGAATTAAACGACCACATCCGTTAATAATCAGAGGGAGTGAGAAAGCTCTCATTATCATCGAGCTTTTATTCCTCACTCCACTGGTTTGTTACTTCATATGAGTGGATGGAAAAGAGAACATTCTAAATCTTTAACAAATCAAGGTAGGAGGGGAGAATACTTCTTTATTATTGCATATTTCTTTCAATACATATTCCTTTCGGCTATGTATTGCCATACTTGAGTATCATGTTCAATATGATAGAAATCATTTTTTATGTCATTAACATTTGGTCACTCATTAGCACGCATTTGTCTATAATATGGATGAGTGCAAAAATGACTATGCAAAATTTGAGTTCCAATTGGAGCAATCATGAGAATGGGGTAGAGTACAAGCGGTGAGAGAATGAGATAAAGGCTCGGCTGGGGGTTTATGGTCCCTAAATGAAAATAGCTGGTGACAAATAGATAAAGTCATCCTTTAACAGAGCGATGCTAATATTCAAATTTAAAATGAACAATACAAATAAAGAAGGGGGAGAATATCAGAAAAACCCATCAACCACATCGTCAATTCTTTCTATTTTCTTATCATACGCGGTTACTTAGGTTGTCGTCTAGAAATTAAGGCCGTCTCTTCGTCGTTCTCTACAAATGGGAAACAATGACTTAACTTGGGCCTGATAGGGAGGAATTACTTAGATTGTCGACGATCGGAGGTGGCGATTGCTTGGGTTGTCATCCGAAAATTACGGCGTTCTTCTCGTCATTCAATGCAAATGGGGAAGCGGGAGTTTACTTGGGGAGAAATTAGGGCTTTAATCGGGTCACTAGATGCAAAAACTGGGAATTTTCCTTTTCTATTTTGCAATTTTCCCTCTCAATTTTCCAGCTCAGCACTATATGGCAAGCTGTACAGCAAACTGTGCGTGTAGCGGGACCGAAGAGTCTTAAGCACTTGTTTGAGCCCCATTTTTGAGGTGAAAATGAATTTTTAAATAATGTATTGATGGAAAATGTGTGGTTAAAAAATAAGTAAAAGTTTTAAATTTGCGTTTAATATTATTTTATTAAAGAATTTGTGGTTGAAATAATGTCAAAACATTATTTAAAAATATATTTTTTGAAAAGAATGGGGTTCAAACAAGGGCTAATTCACGATGATAACTATATAGAGAAATCAATGTACTTGTGATATGTTGAGGAGGGCAACGATTGACCATTAATGGTGAGGTAGAGAGACTGAAATTTTTCTTACAATTTCCCCACTTTTATTAAATGATAAATGAGACATCATTAGTGGAACATTAATCCTTATTTGTCTACAATTATTTAAAACCCCACCCCCCTCCCCGCCCCCTTTTTCCTCTAGATCATTTTCAACCACACATCTCTAAAATTTCACTATCCAAAACTCATTTTCATTGAATGATGGTAGATAAACAGAGGGCTAATTAACTTTAGTGATCATATAGGTAAGAGAAATATTTTCATAATCATTCTGAAATTTCACACGTACTTTAGTGGCCATATAGCACACTTACCCATCTATTACCATAAGCTCAATCCGAACTTTGCTATTTCTGGCAAGATTAACCATCCCCAATATCTAAATCTTCGGACGCAATTCTACACACCAGATGTACGTGAATAAGATCCACCTGTCGAATATGATCGCAATCGTGGCCGGGTTGCTTTTTCGGTCACTTAGCCAACTTTTAGATTAAATAAAGTTTCTAAGCTAGTCATCCAGCCTCAACAGATTTACAATTTGTCGCTTTTGAACATTCGGTCACTCTCCCCTTTCCCAGCCAAACCCCCTTTCAATGGGTTCATTTTTGTTCTTCGTTTGGCTTTTTTGGGCCCAGCCTTGTTTCGTAGTGAATCTATGAATTTCTATTACTAGTCAAGATGAAAACAGGATTGAATCGAATACTGAAAGCTCATGTTTGCTAAAGATGAAGGGCGAAAGGTGTCGACCTTTTTCTCCGTCTACAGATGCTAACTCAGATGCTTTTCTGTTGAAGCATATACTCAGGGGTGGTTGCAGGGCAAATGATTTCAAAGCGTGAAAATAAACAAAAATTTAAAAAAATATTAGAAAATAAATTAATTAAACGTGATAATAAATGTCTCCAAAAAAAATCCGAGGAGAAATTGTAAAAACACAACTCTATTTTTGAAAAGCAGAAAGAGAAGAATGTGAAGACATCTAGGAGTCCTTAGTTACACAAGAAAGGGGAGAGGGGTGTGCGTTTGTTTTTTGGTTTAATTTTATTTTTCCTTGCATAACTTCCAAAATTTAACTTTGTTTAACGTATATTAAAATCAAAATTTTAATATATTTTGATAAAAGTTGATACAATACGTGGTTGAAAGTTGTAGACCCAATGAAATATATTATTAAATTAGTTATTGATTTTGACTTAAAAATTTCGTCAACTTTTAATTTATATAAAATATGGACTTAAGAGTACAATAATCATTTTACTTAAAATTTGACGATGATAAAATAATGATTTTCATCTCAAAAGGACCTCAGAAGCAACTATTCGAAAATTGTAGAGACTCCACTCTCCAGTACTATTATTCAAAGAAAAATGTAGTAAATATAACAGGGAAATAAACACACAAATACACAAACAACGAATAAAGGTAACATTTTTAATTAATATATTTTTATTTTTATTTTTGTGATGATACTTATCCAAAGAATTTATCAGTATTCTTTAAATCGAGATATAAATATTTTATTTTTCCTTCTTACTAAATGTTTTGAATAAAAATTAGGCCCTTGTTTGATCTCTATTATTTTCAGAATACATATTTTTCTCTCTTTATCAACCACGTATTCTTTAATAAGATAATATTAGACGTAAATTCAAATTTTTTTCTTATTTATTAACCACACATTCTCGTTCAATCTACTATTACGCAATGTATTCTTCTCTTAAAATGGGGCTCAAGTAGATCATGTATTATTTGACTAAAAGACAAAGATAAAAATAAATACAAATAGAATTGTTCTCTTGCTCACAAAGAACACGAGATTATAATGCCCACCCTACATCGAGGATGGAGGGATAAAAAAAAAAAAAAAAAAAATCGCCAATGTGGCAATGCCACTAATTGTCAATCAGCGGTAGGTGGGAGATCAATCCCAAATACAAAATTATTAGTGCACCTATACATGTAGTTGAACATAACTTGAGTTTAGGGCTGTGTATGGTCCGATTCGGTTCGATTATAACAAAAATCAAAACGAACTCGAAAATTTTGAGTATTTAGTAAGTGGAACTGTCGGATCCGAATTTAATTATGGAACCGTACGTGTTCAATTTTATTCGGTTCCATTTATTCTCACGTTCTATTCTATAATCAATTTTTTTAATATTTACAAAGTTACATTAATTCTACTAATAACATGTTCAATCTTAACTCTTACAAAATAACTTAGTTCAATTTTATGTGTCTTTTGTGTCTCCCCTTGCTAAGTTCTTCATATTTTTTATTGTTAAAATTACAGAAAGGGGAAGATAATGAGCTCACAATAATAAAGAGATGCGCTGTTGAACTTCAATTCAATTTCTCAAGAATAGTAGAAACGCTACTACGACAGAATAACAGATTTGGGTTTTACCTTATGTCCATTTGATTAAATTGGGCTTGGACTAAAAATTAGAAATATGAAAATCATATTTTTGGGTTGAGCTATATTAACTAGTTAGAAAGTTTATTTACAGAAAAATAAAATAATTTGGTTTATTTTAAATAAATAAATTAAAAAATTACGAAGATTCGATTCTTATTCAATTCTTCGATTCTTGATCCAGTACCCATTCGAATATTTAACTTAAAAAGAATCACTCGATTCGGTTCGGTTCCGATTCTGTTCGACACATACATGCCCCAGTTTGTCGAGTTACAAAAAAATCCATTATAATTGTTTCGGTTTCAAGACATATATGCCCCAGTTTGTTGGAAATTAAAATTAAGATTGTAACTTAAGTTATAGTCAATAATTAATTTTAACATCATATTTTACATTATCCAACTTTTAAAACATATATTTTATCAACTTTTGATTATAATGCCCAATATATATATTTGATTTGTTATAAAAAATTTTGAAATGTATGATTAAAAAATTGTGAATCTCGTTAAAGATGTAGTTAAAATTTAACATTACTTTGAATTGAGGCTATATATAAAAGCTTGGCCAATCCAAGTCAGATTATGAATTTAAGCGCTTAGTTTTGAATTCTCCGAACACTCTCCCGCCAAAAATTTTCTGTCGCAATATTCTTATCAAATTTCCTTCATCTTTATTTTGTCAATCTCTTGTGTTGATTTTTGTTCTGGGGATTTCCAGTTCGGACATGTATGCATACATTTCTTTTAGTTATTGAATTACCTGTATTTGTATCGTAATTTACTTGTTCGCCTACGCGAACGCTGACACGCAATGATGTGTATTTCGCATATGTACTGATATATATGTCTCGATTATATTTGTGAACCGGTTTGAGGGATTAGATGTGTACGTCATTTCTGAATTTTTACGTACTTGTTTTGTAGATAAGCTGTTTGATGAATTGCTTCTGATGAATTGCAGTAATAAGAGGACTACTGTTTGAGATTTAAGGAAAATGTACGGTAAAAAAGCAAGTGAGTTAGTGAAAGAATTTGTGAGCTGCGAACCTGGGCAGCTTACCACTTTCAATGTAAGTTTTTCTAACTTTTTTTATTTATAGAGGATATTGTCTTGTTTTATGGTGCAATACTTGATAACTAAAAAAAAATAAAATTGTCTATTCTATATTTTGTAATTTATTTATCTCATGTAGCTTATATGTAGAAGATAGGACCTACAAAAATCTTTTAGATACAATCAGATTTGGCCCAAGAGAAGGGGAAAAAATGAAGAAAAAATATTCAAATGAATGGGGGATGGAAAAAAAAAATTGATGTACATGGAATGAAGATTTAAAGCATGTTTGGAAAGTGTTGAAAAACAGTTTAAATTATAAATAGATGTAAATGAATGGTGGATAAGTATGTAGTACTTATGTGTCTTTCTAAATACGTGGCTACAAAGTGACTTGAGTGTTTATAAACCGCCCTTAAAGTCACTTCAATTTTCAAGCATTCCATTTTCAAAATGAATGATTTGACTAGCTATCCTCTAACACTGCATGATTTGCTTGATAATGAATTAAAGCACTTTTGAGTTCCTTTAGTTGTGTTAAGTTGAAAACTATAGTACAAGCAGTAGATGAGCATTTTGTAGACAGCCAATGATATATTACGAGATAAATATACTTATGAAATACACATTTACAAGATTCCAAAACATGATTTTGTGCCTGATTTTGCATTGCATATCATTTTAGGATTCTCATCTTACTGAGAACTTGAATAACTGAACTAGGTAGATTGCTAAGATGAAAGACCTTTTCAGGAGCCCAGCTGCCCAGGACATAACATTTACAAAGAATTCCGTAAAACCTGGTTTTCAAGGATTTGCATTTGGTAATTACTGTGTTCACAATGGAAATGATAAAACGATATAATTGTGCATTTTTTTTCCTTTTATTTGTGGAAAAGGTGGGGGAGGGGGATGAAGTGGAGACAAAAGGGGAGGTTCTTTTATGCGAAGGAATCTGAATTCTAAGAAGTTAAATTCCTGTTATTCATTTCTATAGTCAATATTCACCTCTTTCGTTGGATGCATTATTGTTCACATTTGAAGTAGAAACGACCTTTACTCTTCAAAATGAAGAAAATAAATATCAGAACTATATATTCTGATATGTTCCGTCTACCTGGATGTATGGATTTCCACAGCATTTTCAATGTGTCACTCCTACTAAAATCCTGTCAATTTTTGTTCTTTTACAATATTTATGAGTCTTTGTGTGCTCAAACTTTGGGCTGGTCTAGTTATATTACTTGACATCACTGGTCTTTTTCCGTGCACAGAATGTCCTATTTGCTCAAGTGATTGAAGAGTGTAATGGTCATCTCCTTCACCTACAGCCCTTAATGAGGTAATTCTCTTCCTAATGTTCTCTGTATGCTCCATTCAACCTCCCTTTCTCTTCTTTCATTTAGCTTATTTTCTTTTCCGCACTCTTTTCTCAGCATTTGCTTCTAACACTGTTTGTTGTGAGACTTATAACAAACTTATTTTTTCCCGTTTGTTAACCAGTCATTTTATAGGAAATCGGTAATTGTCTAGCATGGTTTTTGTTGGGTGGTAGCACCTCTCTGTTATTAATACTTGAACTAGCAACACTAAATGACAAGTCATTGCCCAGTGTCGACAATTCGATTTGAGATTTATTCACTGCCTTGCAGTTCATTTTGTTGGGCAAAAGTTTGCAAATGTGATGTTTACTAGAGTATATCATTTGACGATCAAATTTTCTTTGTCCAAGAATGACTGAGCCCACTGTAGGCATTTCGTCTCTGTTATCTTTAAAGTATCTAAATTTGACCAATTATTGAAGATATGCGTCGCTCCATTTTTTCTTTAGGGTTAAAGTTATTTAGCCTTAGTTTGGTGGGGTTAAAATCAGGTTTTTAGTAGATTTAGATAAAAGTTGATATATTGTGTGGTTAAAAAGTTGTAGATCCCATAAAATGTGTTGTTAAAATTAGTTGTTGACTTTGATGTAAATTAAAATTTGGATTTTAATTTTACCAAACAGGGGCTTAATCTTATCTTGACTTCTATGATCATCTAAACATCATATTTACTTTGTCCAGTCATGATGGAGCCTAGGGCAAGCATTTCATTTCTATTATTCCGGTATCTCGATGTTATGTACCATCAACCCTTGTATTGGTTATTTGATGCCACTTTTCTGCTGCCAGAAGCCTTTCTGTTGGTTGTCGTACTATATATTGAATATGGTTAGTAGGTGTGTGGGCTGGGGATGGCTTTGAGTTTGGCTGTTAGTTCCAGGTCAATGTTTATTATGATTTTATGTTGAACTCATTCAACTTGAAATATGACAGGAAAATACAAGAGCATGAAAATAAGTTGAAAGATAATAGGAGGTCAGAAGATGAAATGGCAATATCAGAGGATGAGAAGAGGAAATCAGAAGCTGAAAAGATACTCATCCAGACAGCTATGAAATCAGATCAGTTTGGTGCACTGATCCATCACCTGTCATTGGTCCGCAATAAGCGCTGTCTCATGGCTTACGTGTAACCAACATCTGCTCCAACCTTTTTTTCTCTCTAAAGTAAAATCTTTTTTACTATGGCTTGGCTCTGATTATTTCTTCATCGTGACTCTGTTCTGTCGTTCTTTTGATTTTATAGATATAATCGAGCAGAAGTTATCAGAAGTTTGGGATGGGTGGTTGACTGTGTTCTTCCAGAAGAAATTGAAGAGAAACTCAATAGCTCAGAGAAAGAATATTTCAAGAATCATGCTGCGACTCTACAATCATATATGTCAGAACTTGATCTTGATTTGACAGTGGTAATTAATTCTCTTCTCGCTTAATTTTCAGTCGTCATGTTTTAAATTTGATCAGCGTGCCAATTTTGATACTAGGTCATTTTGATTCAAGAGATATGTATGTTACTAATACAATGTAGATCCCATAAACGATTCTGAAACTAGATTCTACTTGTATACTTCTGTTGAAGTTTGATATACTTATCGGCTAGATGACGTTGGAATTTTGTACGCAAGCTGAATTGATAATGCAGGATGTAATATATAAAATAAATCAGTAGTTTATTTTATCTAAATCTCACTGGACCTAGTTCATTGCCATGAAGCAAATCATTTCAATTTTAGTTTTTCCTTTAAAGAAAAATTTGTTGAGGACGTGATTCTTTTTCTAACATCCACGAAAAGATGTAATTATCAGAAGGAACTTCTGGTATTATTAGGTTGTGTGTCTTAGAATGACCCACAACGTGCACTTAGAGGTTTTATCTTCCTTTATCCTTTGAAGTCCAACGAGGCTTACAGCTTTAATAGCAAGCATTTTACTATTTCGAGAACTTGATGGGGATGTAAGTTTCCTGACATGGCCTCCATTATAATCTTCTGGTTCAGGTAAGGAAATTAGCTCATTCCTTTGAACATTTTCATACTTATGACTTTATTTTGGGGGAATCACCTCGTTGAATCTTATCCAACTTTAGTCCTGCAACCTTAAAGCGGGGTGGATGGGTTCATTCTTGTGCTCTTCCACCAATATCTGCCATTTCTTTACCGAGGAACAAAGCTCTCTCTCCCCCCACCCCCCCACCCACACACACCCCTGTCCACGAATTCATACAACCTTCTTTTTTTGTTGGAATTCAGTTGCTGAAGCCTGAAGTGTATAATTGATGCATAAAGGCGATAATTGGAGACATAAATGTACTGAATTTTTTCCTGAAGATCTAGGAACAGTCTTCCACTTTGACTTGATGTTTATCTAGGTCAATCGCATTATTGATCTGGGATAGAGTCATTGCCAACAATGACTTGCTTAATAGAAAAATTAATAAAGCATTTTTGGCTGATGGCTGGTAACTACGGTTATATATTATGATAGGATTCTGAGGGCAAATGGGGTAGATCAAGCAGAAGGAAGAAAAGGATATTCAAACCACTGATTCACATGGGGATAATTTGAGAACCTTCTATAATCAATTGCAGCCTGAATATAAATCAAGGGGGAGGGTAGCGTAGGATCCATTGAGGATTACAGAAAAATATGGGGAGAGAGACGTATTTCGAAAACCTGCCAAACTTGTATTTTCTTTCCATTTCGTCCAGTTATTCAGCAAATTATATATTGATCTGTATGTGTTTCTTTCAGATTACTTGCTGACTGAAGTCTGTTGAATTTCATTTAGGCATCAACTAATATATAACTTTGCTCTATTGTTACAAGTCTTAGGGCTGGTTTGGTAGGGCTTCTGCTTCTTGTAGAAGAGTTTCATGAGGAAGTTACATTAATTAGTGTTGAAAAACTAAAAGAACTTTATCTTTCGGAAGACTTTTAGAGGAAGCTGAGCTCTTGTAACCAGAAGAAACATTTTTATATAATTAACCAAAAGAAAGCAGCTTTTGGGTCTCAAAAATTTGTTTCGGCTTCTCAAGAGTCATGCCAAATGGCCCTTATTGTTAATGGGAAAGTTCCAAGTGTTCGTCTTTCAATGTGAATTCTGCTTCTCTTGTTTCTGAAGTAACTTTTGTAGGCTTTTAATTTTCTCCTATGAATACTAGCAGTTTTAAAGTTCAATTTGCATACTTTTAGCTTGCAATGACTAGGAATGTATTGGCACAACTGCCAGATAAGATATTTATTGATAGAAACCTGAGAAGAATCAATTCGAGTTTTCTCTCTTCTTCACTCAACATTTCTTTGAAATTCAACTTTTGAACTTGATCTTTATTGCCTTGAGGTAGGCACAATTCCATAACTTTAGTGGTTGTTGGGAGCATTAGGTAGCTGATCTGCAGATCAAGAACAAGATAGAATCAATGCCTAAGTTTTAGAATATGTAGTATGAAAGGGATGCCGCAACACAATATTAGATAATTAAAATACACGGGTATAAATTGTATGACATTGTAAAATTTGTTAACTTAAAGTATGTATAGTGAATGGTTAACTCAAATTTATTGATTAAAAGAGCTTTGAAGAAGTTCACAATCTATTATGCAGGAACATTCAGAATAAAATTATTCTATTTATTTCACTCTCTCTTCATAGTTTCAGCGGCCAATTACCAGGTAGATGATTGATTGTTCCCCACCTCACCCTTAGGATATGGAAGTTCCATTTTGCTCAGTTAGTACCCTCGAGCGATGACTGAGTGATCTTTGTGGTAGTAGGGGTAGAATTTGGAAGGCTGGCCGAGGTTGTGTGCTTGAGAGCAGACGAGTTCAGCTCGGTGACTGAGGGCCTCTAAAAAACAAATGACTTCTGGATATGTTTTCCCCCTTGCTTTTGTTAATTTCATGCAACCTCATCTAAAATTTCTCTAAGCTTGTTGATGCTTGTAAGCTAGCTATTCATTTGCCCTTCGGAAACAAAATCATGAGAAGTATCTTGGAGAAAGCATTAACAGAAACTGAGAACACTGGTGACTGGGTTTCTAGTGGAGACTTTGCACTTCAGCTTTTGTGTGTTGCTTGCTTATTTGTTATGTTCTTGCCTATATTTAAAATTACCATCCCACATCGATTATACAGATTACCTGTAGGTGTCAGAGAAGGTATGGTCTATATTGAGTCTTAAATTGCATCAAACCTATGGTTTGATGTCCACGGAATTCAAAATTTGCGCTATGGGGTGCTAATTACATCAGATATTTACTCCAAAAAAAACAAAAAAACAAAAAACAAAAAACAAAGATATTTTTAGGGATATATATTTTTAGTACTTGACATGAGGTTCATATGTTATAGACACATTTTTTTGCCAAGTTCTGAAGCATTTTATCTTGCCCTGTTTTAAAACATTATGCTCGAGAAGGACATCTAAGCATCTTATGCTTTACACACGGGACACTATTTACTTGTTTGCTTTTTCTCAACATTATCGACATATTTGTTTCTTTTACATGTTTCTTAAAATGGGAAAACAATCACTCCATTTATTTTCCAATACTAGGTTCAATTGTCAGAAAACAAAAAAATTGAGTTCAAGAATGCTTCCAAGCTGGAATTACCACTTTGATTAGATAGGAATTTAACTTTTTGCTGGTTTGTTAATTTGATGTTATGAACCTTTTCATTAGAATTGTTTTCCTTGTTTTTCTTTTGGAAGGGTGTTTTTATGCATGTCTGCCTAGGAGTTTAAATACTTTTTGCTGGTGCGTTAATTTGATGTTATGAACCTTTGCATTATAATTGTTTTCCTTTTCTTGTTTTTCTTTTGGAAGGGTGTTTTTATGAACCTTTGCATTAGAATTGTTTTCCTTTTCTTGTTTTTCTTTTGGAAGGGTGTTTTTATGCATATCTGCCTTCCTTTTCTTGTTTTTCTTTTGGAAGGGTGTTTTTATGCATATCTGCCAAGAGTTATAATGGTTTACAACTGAATTAATGCCATTCTAAGAAATCCCAATGGTACTGATAATTAGCATAAATGTCCTCGCAATTTTACTCTATTCACGTCTTTCCCAGGATATGGTTCCTCCCAAAGATCCATACGTCAAGGTGAGGGTTCTTGATGACATTGGTGAAGTTGTGCTTAGTGATCAGGTAGCCAACCTAGCTCGCCATGCAATGTTATTCCTGCGGAGAACCGATGCTGAGCAGTACATCTCTCAGGTTTTGACGCTCCCCTTTCTACATGTAACAAATTCTTTTATTAGTCCCCGGCTTTTGACATCTTCCTTGCTTTTTATTACCCCCAGGGCTTAATGGAAGAACTAACTGGTTGACTGGAACGTTGGAGTGTCCGGTGTGGCTGTAATAATTGCAGTCGAAAAGGTTCAATATTTATACAACTATTACGCACGAATAAACTGGTTATTTAAAGAAAGCATAATGGGCATCCAAGAATGCATCCTTTCCATGTTCTACTAGGTTTGATCATGAGAATACAGTTAGTTGAGAGGAAGACATGTCTCGTCCCTGAGTTCTTGTTTTAGAGAGCACTGTTAGAGAAGTTACTGTTGAAGAATCAAATTTGGGTGCCAAGTATTTGTAATATTGTCAAAAGTATAACTAAATTTGATAACTCATGCAAGAAGCAGAAGAATTTGATAACTGATGGGCTACCATTGGGTGATCTTCAAGTTAAATAAAGCAAGCAGAGTGAAGCAATGGTACATCAGATAATTGGATTTGACGGAGTCACTTGCGTGTGTTCAATCCAATTCGGTGGTGGCTCTTTTGGAGATTCAGAGAAAAACCAAGTAAAAATGCCCAAAATTTTCCTATACTTTGCCCCTGGAAAATATTTTTATGAAATTAAAAGGATTATTATTTTAAAAATAAATAAATGAAGCAGTAATAAATACATGTTAGTTCTCTCGAAATTTGCAATTGAGGTGCGTGTGAAAGGAATGTTATTGGGATCTAAGAAGTCTTACCTCTTTGGTCAACAAAAATAACCTTGAACATGTCCAATGAATATCGACGAGGAAACTAATCGGCAAAGGGATAGTGATCACGTTCATCTCAGTATCATGGGACTAGGGCTATGCATAGATAAATCTTGAAGTAATTTTTTAAAGCTTAGAAAAGCCTGTACTTCTTTCATTCCCAGCCTTCATCATTTCATGAAACTATCTAACATCCATTAGAGCCTGAACTAGAGTAACAAGAAACGAGACAGTCAATTGTATTCCCCTCGACATGAGGCCATCCAAAAGAATGAAGTTACTAGAAGAGCGATGCCCTAGGACTAGGCTCGAGGGAAGGAGAAGCTACCTAACTTAGCGAGTTAGTAGGGACTAGAAGGTAGGAGGTACCTCCACGCGGCAGGCTTTCGCCCATTGAGGAAAATTTCCCATAGTGGGTTTGGGTTCCTAGTCTTGTCTTCCTTCCGAGAATCAGTCCATGAAATTTTAATGAATTTAAAAGAAATTGTATTGAGAGAAGTAATCACGCCGGTTCTTTCCTGAAACATAACCTAGGATCAGCTTAGCAACAGTCGGACAAGTGGGGAATGTTGGGGCGTAAAAAAATTCCTAGTCTTGGTTTCGGTTTTTCGAGATGTATCAGAACTTTTTCGATTTATTTCGTATAATAAAAGTTACTACAAAAATTAATTACTCCAGTTTCTAAGTCCTAACAATGTCATCAATTGAAAGAGAATCAAGATGCATTTTCATACTGCAACTCACACTATATAAGTTCTGTTTCTCACATCTACAATAGAGAAGCTTGAACCAGAAAGAAAAGCCAAACACCAAGTCATTGGTCATTCAGGTAACTTCTGAATTTGACCGAATTGCCAACAGTAAAGATCAACACTCTCATTATCCTCCCAAAGGAAAATGAAGCAACAGATTATCAATGCAGACTTGAATTCAGCTTTCAATCCAATCAGCATAGATATGACCAATCTTCTCAACATTCCACTCTATGAAGCACCTTTTCCCTCGTAGTCTCAGCCCACGAGCATTCTTCATTGGATTGCATAACAACAGCTTCTGCGTTGGAAGAATTTGCACGTTCCATCTCAGCAAAGGAGCCAGGCCTTCGCGGTTCTGTTGATCCAATTAACCGGAATCAGTCGAACATTTATCTTCCCATCTTCCCCCGAGAGAGGGGAAAACCAAGAAAGGGACAGAAGCAGATAAATGGAAAGTCACAATGGCTATCCAGTGAGTGCCTCTTGCATTTCAACTACGTGTATCGCGATAACTCAGCTTCTGTTAAGGTATGTAAAAGACAAAATAAGAGATCCTCGCTTGACTTACATGTTTCGAAGAACAAAGGATTTGCTTTTGGTTATCATTCTAAACCAAAGTGAAGCGGAATGTCACGGGCCTAGTTTCGTTACACCCGAACAAACTAGAATCGTGCGGCCTTAATATTCTACAATTCCCGCACCTCACGAGAAAACGTTAAATCAGCCTTTCCACGCTCACAAATAATTTAACCAATGAGGTTAAATTATACCCACGTTGAGAAGAGAATTTTGAAGTAAGTAATGTATGGAAAACAAGTAAGGATGGGGGAACTTTCTTTTTATAAATGAAAGGAAAAACTTTACAATATCTCTAAAGAATAAATTCACTTCACTCTACATCCTCTACCATCTACTACATACCATTTACAAATGAGACTACCTCTCTATTTATAGGCAAACTTAAACCTCCTTAACATTCCACTTTACAACTCGTACTTAGTTGTCGTCACCTCGTGCTTAGTTGTCTTCAAGTGGATTGTTTTACAACTTGCCTTGCAAGTTGTCGCCAGCTCATGCTTAGCTTGCATACAACTCGCACTTAGCTTGCATCATTGATATTTATCCTTGCCAACTCGTACTTAGCTTGCATACAACTCGCGCTTGGCTTGCAAGTGGCACAAGTGGATCAAAATATCTCGCTGCAGGTCCATGTATTTTTCCTCCCAAAATGGCTAGGTCGAGACTTAGAAAAACCTCATTAACGCCCTGAAAAACTGCATAATTTAGGCAGCCTGCATTTTGCCCCAAAATCAATCTATGCATCCCCAGCCCGAATCTACCTGCGACCTTTGCCGAATCTGTCTGCGTCCCCTATCGCAAGCTGTTCCATCCTTCTGTAACGCGTTACCCGCGTTGTCTTGCGATCGCTACCGAGACGGATTGGTCGCGACCGAGTGAGCGTAAGTCACTCCCCCACTGAATTTGGCGACGCACTCATCGCCATATATTGCCGAAGCATAGATCTTATTTGCGATAAGTCTATCTCATTTTCCCACCTTGTGCCATGACATTCCCGTGTCATGCCAAGCCTTAAGTCATGATCTTGCGATCCGTAACAGGAAGCTAGGATCGTAGAATGAAGCCATTTTAATCCTTAAAATGACAGATAACAATGAACAACTTCCAGCACTTATCCCTTACTACACATGCCTTCCATAGAATGTTAACAGTACCCCCTCCACCCAAGTAAAGCTATGAAATTACTGCTCAGCTCTGTGTTCATCAAATATAATCTGTAAATAGTTGCACTTCCATTCTTCAACCATAAAACCTCAGGAAAATATGCACATAAAACGGCCAAAATGGAAAAGCAAGCAATATAATCAGCAAAAGACACTGCAGAATAACAAAGATCTCGAGGCTTGGGTAAACTAGACGATGTAAGATATATGACACTACATAAATGTAATCATAAAATGTCCTGCACCGTGTACTACTGGATGACCTCTCAATTTCATCCACTCTCTCAAGAACATCAATTTCCTTAAATGTTGCTTCTGCCGAGTTCTTTTAGACACATCCAAAACCTAGTGACTTCAAAGAAATGAACCGAAATATTTACTTAAGATAAAATAGCTAATTAATTATGTCATGCAGGGCTGAAAGACGATGTTCCAAAATGTTGTAGCTGTGATCCACGTACCCATTAACTCAACTGAAAAGAGGTCACCAGGGTTGAAATTGTGTTTATCCTCATTGTGATTGGATATAGAAAACTTGAGAAGATATTAAGTACCACCACTCAATGTAGTTAAATAACCAGGCCATTTTCTTACATATGAAAAACTGGGGTGGATAATCAACATTCATTTTCCTACACGAGAACTCAGAGCAATGAAGAAACTTCCCCTTCAAAATTTTATTCAAGCGGGTTCATGAAACAAAGTTTGGTTAAACAAGATTCATTTTGAACCGTTATAAGCACAGAAAAATGATAGGCAGCCCGCAAGTTTCTTCCAGTAGATTGTTAGTTTTTAGGGTTATTATGGGGTTTCGTAGAGAAAAAAGGTGGAGGCATCTAACTATAAAATAGGGTAGGGCGTTCATTTGTTTTATAGGCAGAAATTAGGTAATAGTTTCTGAGAGAGTTGAGCCTCTGAAATGCTCAACAACACTTTGTGATTCATTTCATTCTGCAATATAATTTTACATTCTGTTTTCAGCATCATATATGAGAGTTCTGCCACAAAATAAATTACTAAACATAAAATTCCTTGTGAATGTTCACGCAAGAACTCTCTCAAGGATGGAGACAAGAAGAACCAATTACTTATATTTCTTATCTAGCCTATGCGATCAAAATGGATTGACATTTTCAAGCATGCAAATAAATTTTTTTCTTAACTCAGCAATACCAGGGCAGATAAGAACTACTTGTACTAAACAGCATAGTTTCAGGTATGCCCCTTATCTCACACAAGAAACAAGTTTTACATCAAGTAGCTTTTCTTTCTCTAAACAGCTCAAAATAATTATCCTCCTATAGGAATATTTAGAACTAAGATTTATTTATTACATTAGATGTCATATCTGCAGCAGAACATACAATGTAAACAATGACTAAAGAAATTGAATGAGTGAACGAATTTAGAACAAAAGAAACGAATAGCAGTAAAAACTAGAAAAGCAATGATATACCTTCTTGTCCATGAGCATAGAGACAATTTTCCCCATGATAACAGCTTCCACATTTCTCCCACTTGTTGCAGAGCCTTGTCTTGCGAAATTCCGCCTCTGATATTCTTGACCTGCATTCAATCTGATAGATCTATTCACAATTCTTATAGCAGAACTCTCCCTATATTCACCCACACGTGTAAAGAAATTGGCATTTATCGCCATCAGGACAATATTTCTCACTGGAAAGCCTAAAGCACCTTTTCCATTTATTCATTGTATTTCTTTGATACCTGATGTGATCACTTTTCGCATATCCTCGAGGTGTTCTTCCCGAGGATTCACATGTGCCTGCTCATCACATATTGGTCATAGAGTCCTTGGGCTAAGGGTGTCCTTGGGATGAAATCCCAGAGCACTAGTACCACACCTCCATGAGATTTGATTGGCAAGGTCCTCAAGATTAGTCCTTGGGAAGGTCCTCTTGACGCCCAAGGCATGCAAATGCTCGAGTACTTTCCTTCACTTAGTTTCAGACACCTTCTTGCTTGCTCTCAAAAGAAGTCCCACTCATCAAGGACTCTAATCTGACTCAAACACCTCAACCTAAGACTCCTACATTTAGGGGACTCTGTCTTAACTATATTACCTAAATTATGATTGGTCTTGTAATTGTAGTACGAATCAAATACTCCTTCCAGATAGCACTCTTTGAGAGAAGGATATCCAATTGATTTAGTCCTATCGGGAGTGCACTACTTAGTCCTACTAGGAATGCACTACCTAC